ATGAGTCTTTAACTTTCTCAGTTTATAAAGATTATCTAGATCCTGTGCCACTAACTTAAGAGTTTGGAGATAAAAATGACAGGATAGCCTCATTAAAAAAAAAAAAAATGTCAGGATTGCCCAAAATACTGCATTAAGCAAACTAGAAGCTGCCAAGCAGAACAGAGAAACACTATCACATGGATATTTGAAATGGAATCTTTATAGAAACACTCCAGATATTATAAAGCTATCTTTTATTCCTGTTTAGAGACTGTACATTTGCCAACCCAGAGTTAGCCTTTTCCTTGTCCATGCTAGTGATATTCCTGGATGTGCTTGGATTATGTGAGTAAGAATGAATCCCAATGGCCTCCATTTCAAGTAATCTGCAGCAAGATACTATTTTGTTTCTCCTTGGTATCATTAAACCGAGGTGGGTCAGGGAGGTGTTGGGTAATGCAAAGTTACCAAATGGTGGTAGTTGCTAGAATGGAAGACACTTTCTTGGTTCCCACTTCAATGTAGTGTCTGAATGTACTCTTTTCCTGCCAGTATTCCACTCTGCCCTATTGCACCACCCCCTGGTCATGTGGATGTGTATTTACCACAGGTCTTTATCCTGCTCTCTCCAAGAAGACAGAGCAAACCAAGGTACATGAAGCTATCTTATGCAGTAAAAATGTGAAATTTGAACACTGCTATACAAGTATTGTATAAAAAACAAGTCTGTAAACAAACATTTCTTATGTAAACATACAGGGGAATAAAGACTTTTATCTGTTCAAACGGGAGCATTGATGTGCAGAGATATAAATAACTTAAAATAGCAGTTGTTTTCTTGAGCTGAAAACCCACTTTTGCATAAAGGATTTAAACACATTGTTGAGTGACAGTAAGTACCTGTACATAATGGAAGTGTGGACACGCATGAGAGACATGCTGAGGACGTTTTAGTGAGTCATGGCTGCCCTGGCTTCTCCTTGTGGTCAGGGAGAGTAAAACCCCTGTGAGCCTGCATTTGACATGACCAGACACGGGGCTGTAAAATAGAGCACAGATTTGCAGCTCTTCTCTACTTTAATCTTTAATATACCCAGGCCAGTTTAATAAAACATTTTATGTTGGCAACAGCAGTTTTATGCCCAGGGAGAAATCTCTCTCATTTAATTGCTCCTTTGGCGTGAGATACACAGCATCAATAAGCCAGTGCTGGTTCCTATCAAATCCCTTATTCCCCCACTCATGGGTTTTAATGCAACTATACAGCATATGGTAGGACCAAATGCTTAATTTCATCATCTAAGCCAAAAGGTCATGGCCCTGATTTGGCTCCAGAGTGTGAACTGCAACTGGTGCTGCGTTTCTGAAGTTCTTGTGAAGGGATATTTGCTTTCTACTTGCTAACTATGTATATGAGTAGGTTTCTCAATACTTCCAAGTCTTCGTTTTCAGTTTTTGGCAAGAATTGTGTCTTTGATGCTCCCTATAAGTATTATTTATTTTTATAGTATAGGGAAAAATAAAATTCTGGTTGTGCATGATATATTGTACTAACAAACATCCAGCCAGAAACTTAAATCTTCAGATTTAGATTTTGGTTTTTTTAGAAAGCACGTTGATGACCCTCACTATATCTGTCTGATAAAATTTTCAGAGTAAACCTTTCCCAAATCATTCAACACTAGTCACTGCTTTGGAAGTTAATAGGGAGCTAGTAAGGACAGTTGCCAAGTCATCAAATGCTTTTTAGAAATCTTTTCTCTGCTTTCTGAAGCATGTGAGCTCTTACTGAAATCTGTATAACTCGGAGCCTCAAAATAGGCTAAAATAGAGTTTTGAAATGTGTGCTTAACCTTAACCTGGCACACAACCCTGCAGGAAAGCAAGAAAAAGAAATGTTTTGACTTGTTGTATAATTTGATATGATAAGCCAAAATAAAAAGAGACATGACCCAGTTAGGGGAAATTAGAACAAAATGCCCTACCTTCAGCTTCATGGCACGGAAGACCCTTGTGCAGACTGTGAGGCCAGGTCCTGGGCTTAAGCCCCTCCTCTCAGGAACAACTGTCAATCTCTATTGAGCTTTGTGGTCATAGGGCATCTGCCATGCATGCCATTGGTTGCCAAAGGACCTGGATCAAGGCATGAGGTCAAATTAGTATAAACCCTTCATTGCTAGTAGGCAGACTACTTTGAACATGTTTCCTGACAGTATAAGGCCATCTTCATGTACAAAGACTGTTCACCCTGAGACCTTGTGCTTTCCCTACAAGAACACACTCATGTTCCAAAAAAGACCTCTAACTCCCGGCCAGACTTAATGTCTGTCCTCTGGTTACAGTAATTTAGAATCTCTACTTCTCTTGACTACCTTGTTTCTTGTGCTGCTGCCACCAAAATTCCTTGCAAGAGTATGATTGTCTGCGCTTTTCCAAGTCCACCAGCAATGTTTTGGTCCCCAGAGTGCCAGGCGCTGAGCCTCACAGTGGGTGGTTGCTCTTTGGCCTGGTCACACTGCACCTCTTCTAGAAAGAACAAATAGGTCGAGGGCTTGGCCTTCTCAGGAGAAACCTTTATATGTATTTTTCGAGTTCTAGAGGCAGATTCATGCTAAAAGAGACATGAGATAGGTCTGGCCTTGTTTTGAAGGTTAGGTTTTCCCTTCACACCCAATCTTACAGTATTTTCATATGCTCGTGAATTTTAAAAGTTGCTGGAACTTTGAGTATGACTTTCCCATTACTCACCATGAAGGTCATAGAATAGGCTCCAAGTTGGCAGGCTTACAGTTGACTTGACGAAGAACCCACTTTTTCACAGAGGTATTGTGATGAGTTGGGCATGTTCTTCCATCCTGTCCAGCTCTGGGTATGGGCACCCTTGCTTGGTACTCAGAGTTCTGGAAATGCAGTCTAACACTGCAGGCATCCTAAGTGCCCAGGTTCTGTAGGTAGCTGCTTTGGGTAATCTGTGTACACAAAACCACTAAGTCCAGTCAAACTAGTGTTCATTTTCATTATTGATCTGTATGATGCCAGAGTTGGTCATTGGCTTGACTAAATTCTCCATTTTTTTCCCTAAGAGATACTTTGTTCTCCCACAGAAACAGCTTAATAGCCTCAACTTGCAGGGTAGTTTTAGAAGTTAAGAAATCGTGCCTTAGTTTTGACAACTGGAAACTTTGTCCATCTGATGCCATGTTAGAAAATGGTTCAAGGAATTTTGGGGTCCTCTCATTCCACTTTGCTTGGCAAATCTTATTTTGGAAAACTTCTTTTCCCCCGTCATTTGAAAATGCTCCCAGAAATCATCTTCTGGGAATCACTGTGACAGACCTAATATCAGCATACTTCCCTGAGAGGTTAGGATTATGACTTTTCACATACATTGCAAGGGAGAAAGTGAGAAGGTGTTTCATTTATTTTCTGTCCCCAAACTGATGCTATTGTATCATGCAGGTGCACATATTAAAGCTGTAATGCAAGGAGAAAGTTATCCTCTTCAAAATCAACACACTCTTCAAATATTATTCAGAAAGCCATTTGGCATCAGTACAGTATTTCACCTAAAGACTCTAATTTGGAATTCATTAAAGGCATTTAAACTGTTAGGGAGATGAAAATGGGGGGAAACCACCTTTTTGCTTCTGGAAACAATGTTTAAGGTCAGACCTATTTAAAAAGAAGTATGGCAAAAAAAGTTATAGGATTCAGAAAAGCACAGTATTTTGGTACGGCGTCTAAAGTGTTCAGGACTCTCTCTACACCTCTCTTTATAGCGTAATGTCTCTAAGTGACTGGTTTCCCAATAAACTGATTTTGATGCTGCTTCTGCTGTGTTCTGTGTGCTTAATTTAAGCAGAAACTTTAACAAGAATTTCTATGAGTTAATGGTTTGCATAGAAGAGAAGAGGGTTATGTGGGGTGGGGCTGATTGAATCACCTCTTCACAGAGGTTCCAAGTCACCTATAGAACCCAAATCATTGTACCAAATGTTCTTATCGTGGTGGGTTGGGAAACCCATGATGAAATGATGCCTTTACCCCCAACCACCCTTTCTCTGGATTCTTCTTGCTTAGTTACATATGCCTTTTTCCTGCCCTTTTGCTAACATGTGCCCAATGACATACTTCTAACCTGCTAATATTTCTTGGAAGGTAAGCTCTCTTGCATTCTGATAATTGTCTATTTGATTTTAAAAGCCAGAGCACCCTGAGGCACTTCTACCTAGATAGAAATAGACTAGTATTTTAGAGTTTGCAAATACTTCTGTAATTTCCCATGCATTTCACTCCGTCTGCTTAAAGAACTTTATGATGGATTCATTTAAGCAGAGGAAACCTTTGTTAACTTAGACTGAAAACAAAGTTCCAGAGCAACTCCAGCTGAAGTTGGAATTTAATATGACTTTGCTTATGTTTCCTCCCCAGATAAAAGTGCCTTCAGTACTCCCCTTTGAGTCACTTTTGTGCTCTTTGAGTAGTGCTTATGATGGCAATCATCAAGTAAACTTGCATTTATCAAGCAGCCATGTTTTGCTGCTTTTGGGGGACAAAAGAGGGGTGTGTTCTCAGAGTCTGGCCACATGTCAGATGCTGAATTGAATTCGTCCCAGACAATATGTCTGCATACTCTGGAACCATCACGGTACATGTGGAGACAAGTGACTGGGTTTGTTTTCATTCCATCATGAGCCAGTGCCAGGTAGAGCAGGTGCCAGTGCCTAGCCCCACGAGTTAGGAGCATTGGTAGTCCCGCTGAATGTCTGTGTGCCTAACATCTTCATTTCCTTTCCTGCACATTGTGCTTATCATGTTCCAAAATGTGAGACAGTGATTGGTTGTGTTCCAGTCTGTGTGCAGTTTCCTTGCCTGAATTTTATTTTTCTGTTTTTCCTTTTCCATTTTCAACATCTATTATTTAGTCCCATGATGTTACCACTGCGGGTTGGCCATTAAATGTTCCAAGGAGCATTGAACTGACCTATGCATTAATTCTGCATTTTGTGCTTTTCTAGGTCTCCAGAGAGAGCCCAATCCATGTCCTGTAATAACTGTAGAGCACTTTAAAGAATCAACTGGTGTTAAAGGCCTTCCCCTGTATCCAGACCCCTCCAGAGTACCTGACACGAAAACTCAGAACAATTTAGAATCTGACTACTTGGCCAGAGATGGCCCTTCAAGCAACAGCTCATTCCACAGCAGTGAAGAAGAAGGGACTGACCTCGAGGGGGACATGCTAGATTGCAGTGGGTCTCGACCGCTCCTCATGGAATCTGAAGATGAGGACGAGAGCTGCAAGCCTCTGCAGGGGAAGCTGGGAGCAGCCGTTCCATTCGCTCAGCCAGAAGCCTCTACTGAGCAAGCAAAGGCAGTGCAAGATGGAAGAAAGAACCAATTTCAAGCCCTCGTACAACCAGCCACTGATGGCGTCGGCGAGCCAGATGTTTTTGCCACGGCCCCCTTCAGGATTTCAAGGGTTTCGGCTGATGAGATGGACATTTTCTCCAAAGCCCCATTTGTCTCCAAGGGCAATGTGGCTCCTTCCCAGCCAGAGGAGGCGGATGTGTTCTTGAGAGCTCCTTTTACCAAAAAGAAAAGTGTGGAGGAGTTAACAGTCGCCCAGAGCACCTCCCAGGAGATGCCTGTGCAGGCTGGTCTTCTCAGTCAGACAGATGACGTCGCTCTGCTCTCGGGCCTTGACAGAGCAGTGTATGCCTCTGTCCGATCTCAGTATTCCATGGCTGGTTTTGTCCCACAGTCCAGTCTCCCCTCCCATCCTGTACAAGCAGCAGACCATCTTGACAGCATCTCACCCAGGGGATCCGCCCTGGAATCTGGGGGCCATCCTAATGACAGAAACAAAGGACTTCAGCCCCAGCAAGAAGCTATCTCAGGCCCCATGGCTGGCAAACCATTCCGCCCCCAGTCTTTATCCAAATACTCCCGTCACTATAGCCCAGAAGATGAGCCAAGTCCTGAAGCCCAGCCCATTGCTGCCTACAAAATTGTTTCGCAAACCAACAAGCAGTCCATAGCTGGCTCTGTTTCCATCACATCCCTTTCCTCCAGGACTACGGAGCTGCCAGCTGCCGATCCTTTTGCTTTAGCACCATTTCCTTCAAAATCAGGCAAGCAGAAACCTTAAGAGCAATACCTGAGCCTTAGGCCTCTCTCTCTACCCCACCCTGAATAACCCAACACAACACTCCCAGCTGAGCCTTCCTAACAAGAAGTATATCAGTTACCATCTTTCAGTTCCCTGGGTTAGAGCAGAATGTTAGTCAACAAACTCGAGTGCAAAACCCCTTTGAGTGTGCTCATTTCTTTTGTTTATATTGATTTCTGGACTTTCAGGCATTTCCATGTTCACCTCTACCCAGAACGTGACCCCCCCAACCCCCGCAGAAACTATTTAAATCCAGAAACACTTCACGAACCCAACCCCAAAGGGGCCATGTTACCACTAGTTCTAATTCCTGCAATCCTGTTGTGAGTCGTGTCCATTGAGGAATCAAGATCAGTCCTGCCAGGACTTGATTTAATACTCTTAAAAAGGCGATATTTCTGGAAAGAGATGCAAGATGAAAATCCTGCGTTTCAAGAGGAAGTGTAATCCTACAGATATAGTCATTCCTGTAAAACCAGCAGCTCTAGGATTCTCTGCATCTGTCTCCGAGTCTGCTCCAGCCAGGCCAGCCCTCGTGCATATGTGCCTGTGGGTGTTCAATGTGTGTCAGATCTTTTCCTGTCTAGAAGTGCAAACAGACGAGGTATCTGCGCTCGTATCTCATGGTGTTGAGCCTTCCCTGCATCCATGCAGCTTTGTAAATTAGTGAGTGCGCAGGTTGGGTGTGTGCTCACACGCATGCATGTGCTCACGGGAAGCATTTTTTCTTTAGGATAATCCTGTCCCTCCAGGCCTACCTCCACAATCACTCATTTGCTGGCATTTGTCTCCTGTACTAACTTACTCCAACCCTTTTGTTACTTAGTTTTTTTCTCACGTGAAATTGATTTCATTGGCAGGTGTAGGAAAATCCTGCTGAGGCAGGTGTCAGGGCAGGTTTCAGAGTAGAGTTCCTTTTCTCCCCAATTTGCTCTTTGTGATTAACAAATTCCATTTACCTGATCATGAAAAATTAATTGTCTACATTTCCCCTCAGAACAATATAAAAGAGTACCTTGTTACAGTTTCAACCAGTGGGTATATGGTCTTAGTAATTTTTAAAAGTACTTAAAAACCTGGGTCTGAGCATTCCATGTTGTCTTCATGGAATTAATTAATGATGAGAGTAGGCTGCAAACTAGATTTGCTTATTTGTTTGTTCCAAATCCTTACCATCTTTCTCTACTGCTTCTTGAGGAAATATAAATCTGAGACTGTAAATAAGTTTGTATGGGAGAATGGAAAGGAGCTGCATCTGTTAGCCACGAAAACCTTTATTCTCCCTCCTCCTTAGATGTTGTTGAAGTCAGCCAGGTAGATGACTGACTTGTGTTTTTGAAATGTCTTCTCTTTCTGGAAAGGTCTGACTCATTCCTAGCTGTTTTCCTACCCTTTATTATTAGTGCCTTAAAATGAAATTTATGTCTCAATGGGAAGACTTCTGTTGAGGAAATTCAGCTTAATGGGAAGAGTTGCTACACCATGTTTCAGTGTGAAAGCTTCTGTGACTTACAGTAAATGTTAGGGAGTTTTTTCCCATTAGCTGGAGAAATCGAGGGAGTTGCTTACCAAACAAGATGAATGATTTAAGATTTCCTGGAAATTCAGCCAAGAATCAAGCCTGAAGGTCAAATTCTATTGCAGTTGATGAGGTGTGATAGTCTTAAATTTAAAGTTCATGGGTCTTGGCAGTAAACTATAAATAGCTGCTTTTTAAGACTTTCCCTGTGCTTGTCTCCACCTATTTCAAATGTCCAGATTAAAAGATAAATAATGGTACTGATTCAGGGCTGCCAGCTATGGTTTTCCATCAGAGGTTCCTTTGTGCCAGAAACGAATGTCTTTCACTGTGTTAGATGCTAAATGTTCATTCTAAGAGGTTTCTTTCTCCCAGTGATCATCTTTGACTTTTCTGTGTAATAGTGGGTACAAAATTATCTTTCAAGTTGAGTGAATAGTTTTAGCTAATGCATATGGAATTTTGCACCTCAAACCCTTCCCTTTGACATTATCAATTAAAGCTTTCAAAGGCAGGAGCCAAGAGGATAGAAATACTCAGGAGAGTTTTCACCCCAAATCAGAAACTTCAAAAGAAAAAGGTCCCAATTCACTCTTCCAAGTATTCAGGATTACCTCTATAATAGCCCTGCAAAATGTTTTTCCCTTGGTTATTTGATCACATCCTCCTAATCAAGTAGCCATTTTAGTTCTCAAAGATAAAATCAATAAAGTGATGGTGATTTTTGTTATGTAGTTGAATCATTTGTCAAGCATAGACTTGTAACCTGTTTGTAGTCTCATAGAGACCGATGATGGTTGGAGACTCTAAAGACCTTCTTTGGTCAAGAAACATAAACACAAATTACTGTTGTATTTTTAGTGATACATGAAAATGTTTTGACTAAACATTTTTAGTCAAAGCATTTTGACTAAGTGCTTTAAGTCAAAACATTTGGGAGGACATTAATTATTAGCTAATAACTAGTGAATTCAGCAGTGATCTTTGGGTCATATAGGGTAAATGCACTGTTGAAAGATAAAATATTCTTGCCAGAGGCCAGCCTGAATCTGGAAATCTGGAAAATTTATTTTTAAGGGAATCAGGAGTGCTCAGGGAGCTTTGAATTGAATTAGTAGTGAATGCATGTTTCCAGCAACTACACTGCAATAGGTTAACATTAAAGAGAAAAAGGAAATATATAGTCAACAAAATACTGCACTTCTTGTTTTGGTTTATTTCGTATGGTATGTGCTTTACACGTCTGATAGGCAATGCAGGTGCATGTTACCGTCCACTTCAGTGGAGTGCAGTGAGCCAGAATGTATTTTGAATAAAGCATTGAATCCCAACATGCACTGATGAACTCTTAAATAATTCACATTAATTGACTAACGGGCACTATTGAAATAATGAATTTTCTTACGTGTGGTGAAAAATATTTAGCATATCTGTTCCTTGGGCTCACACATAGCCCTGAGCTCCAAATCCTTGTTAGACTGGGAAATGGAATGAACAACATTTATTGCTAAAGCAGATGCTTGGCAGGACCTAAGGGGATCTAGGTCATAAACTCTTTCATTTTGGGCCCACTCGTTGAGTTTAAATTTTCATATGTATAGGCTAGTGAGTATGTGTTTATATGCCCATATTCTGAGTTTAATTTGGCAACCAAGATATTTGTTTCTAAACTTCAAGGAAAAATACCAGTATAATATAATTTAAGTTTTAGAGTACATGTATATGAATGTTTTCAGCATGTGTATATGATGTTCAACAGACATTTCACTGATTTCAGTTTATTTAAAATAAGTGTAACTACCAGAGTGATCTGACAATAGAAATTCAATCATGCTGTATTTGATTACATAAAGAAAAATCATCAAAACCTAGATTCTATAGTATGTATGAATTATATCAAATAGGAAACTTTATTATATAGGAAACTAAAGAAGGGTGAGATCAAACTCTCTAACAGGAAGGATACAATTTAAAATGGAGTCACTTAGTTCCCTTTAATAAATGTCATTCTGTGTCTTTGGATTGGAATTGGAGAACATATGCCAGTCACTGTGGAATGGCTGCTGTCTACACAGATGCAGTTTTTGAAAAAAAAAAACTGCGAAACATTCTGAAAAATTTGGAATCCAGATTACTTTGATTTAAGGGCCATAGGAGAGCCACTGAAAGGTCCACGGCTTCTAAGGAGTTAGGAGCACCTTGTAAAACCTCACAGCCACCGCCGAGTTCTGATCCTCCAATCCTGCCTGATGGAGTAAACATGAAGATATTAAATGAAATCATGTAATATAAAATCTTAGTTTTTTCGATGCCTTTGTCAACTGCTACTTGTAGTTTATTGGGGTTTTTTGTTTGTTTTTGTTCCTTTTTGTGTTCAAGGACACTTGCAAACTTGTGACTTACGAAGTTCACTTGAGGAATTTCGAAATGCTTGAAAATAAAAAGTAGTGTCCGGTTGGGAATTGTTTTTGTGTTCTTTTGCTACAAAATAAGTTTGCTAGGTTGCTGAGAACAACAGGCTGGCTCAGCCTTGATGTGCGAGTTTACACTGGCAGTGTCTTGATTCCCGTCTGGCTCTCTGACTTCCTGGTCCTACCTGCCTCATTTGCACCCTGACTTTTATTAGGAAGCAGGCCTCCCACATGCGATGCCCAAGATCCCATCATTAAAACACTGCCAGACAGCTCTTCCTTGCCCTTTCTTTACCACTGTGAGTCTTCCTGGCTCATTGTCCTTATTTCTGTTCCCACTTCATCTCCTCACAGGGCATCCCCCTGTTATAGCCATACCAATAAGTAGATAAGAGGTATGATTGAATGAGCATGTTAGTTTTTATTTGCCTCCCTTTTTACTGTAAACAGTTTCTTCTTAAATTTCAGCCTAGCCTGTGATAATCTCACCACACTGGAATAATTCAGAATAAGAATGAAATGGCTCACCTTCCCCATTTCTTACGGACTAGAAGAAAAGATGAAGAAAGGTTGACAGAGTCCCATCCTTACTCTGGAAACACAGCTCAGAGTGCCTAGAATGCAGGGGCAAGTTATGTGTGAAGGGACTCTAGAATAGCTTATAAAAATAGCTACATGTTAACCAACACACTGGTGGCTTAGTCCACTATTCCCATAACTTGTAATTACAAAAGAAATTTAGTCTTGAGCTAGTTCCCAGCAATCTCAATATGTGTGACACTGTTGAGTTTATAGTAACAGTGTTTTATTCTTGAAATCAAGTCAATGTTATTTGCATTGCATTGTAATAGAACCATATATGCACATTAAAGGGATCTGTTTGATTCCTGTGGGCAAGGAATTGTGGAAATGGTATTTACCAATATCAGTTAAAGTGAGACTTTGAGAGTGAAAGATGATGTAGCTTTTCACTTGAAATGTCAAATCAGTTGTATTCTCTTGAGTCTGCCAAAGACTCCTGTTTGGGGAGTGTGAATGGAGTGTGTATGTGTGTGCGCATGCGTGCATGTGTGTATCCCATGCTTTCTGCCGTGGTATTAAGACCTCCTAATAAAGGCATCCAAAGAATAGCAAGAGATGACGGTCTGTATTTGGCATAATTAAATTTGGTTCTCTTTGCCAACAGCTCTCTGAGTTAAGAACTAATGTTCTTCTAGATAAAGGTGGGAAAAATCAGCCATTGCCTGAGCCTCATTTCCACAGTAAACATACTCTTCCCATCCATAAGAATGAAACTCAGTAGGGTTTGTATGAATTCTTGGCTCATGTGTAATGTTGGAAGGGACACAGCGACCAGAACACCCAAGGCCTGCAAGGTGTTACTTTGAAACAGCCCCTCTTTCAGGTCCTTTCAGGGGCTAGAAACCAAATACAGGCCAAGGACCATGCTCATTCCATGCAGAAGAGGTGAAGTCCCTTAGCTGACTGTATTTTGAGTTGACTGAATGAGGAGGTCGACCCAGCTATAAGGAATATTGAGGCCATCAGTCCTCAGAAAACAATACGTACATGCAATCTCAATGGCTGGGAACATGGGGAAGGAAGGGGAAAAGACCATTATAAAGTCAATCTTAACAGTTTTTGCAATACCTTTTAATTGCAGACTATTGGGATTTATGTTATTGCACTCTTTGTGTGATCTATCTTATGTATCTGATAGTTTTATGAATAATTATTTGAGTTGTAAACTCCCATATACTTTATTAAAATGAACAATTAAATGATTTACATTTTGTATTATTTCTTTTTTTAAGATTTTATTTATTTTTTTAGAGAGAGAGAGAGAGAGAGAGAAACATCAATGCATGGCTGCTGGGGGCCATGGCCTGCAACCCAGGCATGTACCCTGGCTGGGAATTGAACCTGTGACACTTTGGTTTGCAGCCCGCGCTCAATCCACTGAGCTACGCCAGCCAGGGCTCATTTTGTATTATTTCTTATGTCAGATCTTCCCAGCATTGAAGAGCTCTATAAGCACCTTTCACTTTAGTACCAATCCTAGTTTTACATTTTTAAGTTTCAAAGAACAACTTTTGGTTGGTTGCTTGCTTGCTTGCTTGCTTGCTTTCCAGTGCTGTCATTCTTATTTCCTGATAAGGAAATAATTTTCTACTTTCTATTCCAAATGTTATGTGGAGACATAAATGAAATAATGCAAGATAACTGAGCCATAAAGACTGAGCTGGGAAAACCACAGAGCTCCCTACTGTGTAAACTTCCCTTTGAGCTTCAACTATGTCTGTTACCTGAATGTGAGCTGCATTAATCTGAAGAGAGATATTAACATAAAAAACTGAAGACAGAAATCTTTGGGGAAATGGATTATACCTAAGAATTTTAAAAATCCTCACTGTGGGAAAGAACCTGCCTTCCTATTTCCTCTCCAAATTTAAGAAAATAACAGTAATATTTGAATTTTAATGAGCTTGACATCCATGCATGGTTCAGGGAGAATTGGTGATGGGCTGGGTTCAGAGAAACAACGTTGAAAGATCAGGGATCCAAAAAGTTCTGACATAATATGCAGGAGTAAACCCAATGTTTTCTTCTTTTTCTGAAGATTTACTTAAGATTTGATTCATCTATCTTTAAATATAGTTCTGTAGCCCTGGCCAGGTGGCTAAGTTGGTTTGGAGCATCATCCTGTACACAAAAAGGTTTTAAGTTCATTTTCCAATTAGGGCATATACCTAGGTTGCAGGTTTGATCCCTGGCTGGGGCACATATGGAAGACAACTGATTGATCAATGTTTCTATCTCACATGGATATTTTCTCCCTTTCTCTGTCTCTAAAATCAATAAACATATCCTCAGGTGAAGAACATATGTATTTATGTACATAGTCTGTCCAGAAGGTATCCAACCATACAATAAGAAAAAAAAGAGACATTTATTGAAAAAGATACAAGACATTGTACATAGGACAATGATGCCTCAGTCCCCTTCAAAATAGGTACCTTGGGACCTCTCACAGTTTTCCCAATTGCCATCAGCTGCCCCATTGTATTTTCCTGAATCTCATGGATGGTCTGAAATCTCTTCCCTTTCAAAGGTGATTTTAGTCTTGGGAAAAGTCAGAAGTTGCAGACTGCCAAATCTAGGCTGTAGCAGGGCTGAGTTATCTGGGTGATTTGATGTTTTGCCGAAAAACCTGCATGAGATATGATGCATGAGTGGGCACATTGTCTTGAGGAAGCTGGCAGTCATCAGTTGCCCATGACTGCCATCTTCTGAATCACCCAAACAGTTTCCATGAAGGAATGTTCAAGCTTAACTCAAAGTTTGGTGCAGATTCATTGCTCTACTCAGTTATTTTGAATACGATGGCCACACAGTACACATGTTCACTCAATGGTGTCTACCACCCCACTGACTAGTACAGTGAAGTCGTCATTGTTCACACATGTGTGTTCCAGTCCACTCCTTGGCTGCCAGGTCACATCATGAGCAGATAGTTTTGATCTATTTCTCAAAAGTTAGAGACAAAGATCTTTCCCCCTCCTTGATGACCTATTTTCTCTTGAGTTTGTCTTTCCCTATATTGGGGTAGTGAGACTTACAGGGCTTAAGTTAGCATGTCAGCTTACCTGGAAGGAGAATAAGTAATTCTTCAACCTGCTTTTATGTAAGCTTAACCCAGAGGCCCAAAAAGAAACAAGTATTCCTTTCAGAAGGCAGCCCAGTTCTTTAGTGCTAAGGTTTTGGCACCAAGATCATTGCTAAATATGGAATTCCCAAAGTCCGATATGGTGAAATTAGTAGTTCTATGAGATCTTCCAAGTCATCTTGTTTTTGAACAGGACCTTTTTTTTTCCCCCTTAAGTACAAGCAAAAGTAGAAGTGAGCCATGGGAGAAGTAAGCCAGCTGGGCTGCGTGGGCTCGGGAAACATAGAGCAAAAGAAGGGCTTGTGGAGCGAGCCTAGGAGAGATGAAGGCAAAGAAAACACCCCTGGGAGAGGAAGAAGCAGGGCATGCTCCATAGAGAGAGTGGGCCCGGGAGAATGAAGGGGGAAAAGCGTGGGCTTGAGAGAGAGAGAGAGAGAGAGAGAGAGAGAGAGAGAGAGAGAGAGAGAGAGAGGGAGAGGGAGGGAGGGAGAGAGGGACACAGAGCACATACAGAGCAGGACCATTTGATCCCATGGACCTACTTCGTTTTTTCATTCGTTAGAGAAATCTTAACGTTATCTGAGGCAAATCGATCAGTTTTCTCATAGACTAACCAAAAATTAAATATTACCTGCCAGCCTTTATTCAGTCAATTTACAATGAATATTAGTAGGAATATTCAAGTAAATTTCAAGTCAGGAGGAATATTTGAGTAAATATTCAAGTCAGTAGGAATATTCAAATAAGATTCAAAACAGCAAAAGTTGCACATGATTAAAAATTAATTGAATAATGAAATCGAAAAAAGTCAAAATTTTGGCTTGGGAAATTTGAATTCATCAGAACTCAGTAGCAAAAGATACCACTGGTAAAATTTGAAATGAGCCAAAAATTGACTGACTAATCTCTATAATAAATGTATAAAAAGACTGGATCCCAATGAGAATAATTACAATAAAATGAAAATGTACTACTTAAGTAAATTGATCTAAGAATTACATTGGCCTAATGGAGTTGCTTAATAGGATTTCTTGATGAAAATTAATCAATATTAGCTCATTTAAAATATCCGTAGCCCTGGGTGGTGTGCCTCAGTGGATTGAGCGCTGGCCTGCAAACCGAAGGGTCAGGGCACATGCCTGGGTTACAGACGGGGTTCCCAGTTGGGAGTGGGTGAGAGGCAACCACAGATTGATGTTTCTCTTTCTTTCTCCCCCTTCCCCACTCTCTAAAAATAAATAAAATCTTTTTTTTGAAAGATTTATTTATTTATTTTTAGAGAGGGAAGGGAGGGAGAAACACACAGAGAGAGAGAGAGAGAGACATCAATGTGCGGTTGCTGGGGGCCATGGCCTGCAACCCAGGCACGTGCCCTGCCTGGGAA